CTTCCGGTTTCACCCTATTAAAGTATTGTCACATTTTGCAGAACACTTTTCCGTTCTTGGTATATTAATGAATAACCAGTTAGATAAAAAATTAGAGCAAGAGATATTAGTGCGTCAAAGCAGTGACCTTTTTTTGGTAAATATTATTAATTTTCTCGACAAAATTTAAAAATAATTATGGTATGTGTCAAGGGGTTATCTGAAGTGTTTACTTTTTTGAAGGTAATTATTTTTTTGGAAAAAAATATAAAACTATTAGTTAAAGTTTGTAACAAAGGCTATAGCCGGATAAGATGGTCAAAATTGCACCATGCTCGATTCAGTTTTGGGCATAGCCATTCGAAAGGAAAATAACCTAAAAACTCGCTTAGTTAAATTTTCAAGTCCTTTAGGTGCCTCTGGGTTCGCTATGGTGAAAAAACGTATTTAAACGAAAAAAATTTTTTTAGACGCTGTATTGCTGCAAAAAAATCTAAAAAAATTCATGAAAGCTTAGTTTAATAATACCCTGATTTTTTTTCAGATTTTTAGCTTAAAAATTGAGCCAAGGAAAAATATTTGAAATTTTTCAGTAATATTTTTAGGTTATGTCAGAAATTGTTGGCCAACTTTAAAACAATGCTTTTTTTATGGTTTTTTCCCGTTCTTTCGACTGGCATAGGTATTATTATCATTTTCAACGTGGAAAATACCTAAAAAATCGAAAAAACTGATTTTTTTGGCATTTTTTCTGAAAGCAACCCCCACCCCTTAACAATAAATTGTATGGCCTACGAACAAAACAAAAAAAAATAAGTATTACATAGAAAACAAAAAAAATTATTTATATTGCTATAAGATACAATAATATCAGTTTTTATGAAATAAAAAAAATATTAATAAAATAAACATAAATTAGGTTTTTTAGTGAGATGGATCACTCATAACCTTAACAACATACATCTAAATTAATGATAATTCATATTTTGATATGTATTCCTTACATTTACAATTGAAACAAGCTATTAAAACTATTATTTTTTTTCCTACAGCATGCTAAAAAACGAAAAACCCCGTTTTCTTGGCGTTGTTTTTAAGGTTTCGCTATATAACCTCTAAAGTCAGTCTAAATGAATGGTAATTTACATTTTCACATGGATCTTTCCCTTTACAATCAAGATCAGTTATTCAAAGCATTAGTTTTTACTTTAACTATTATTAACTATAACTATTAACAAAAACCCCGTTTTCTCTATGTTTTATACTACATAACCTTAAAAGGCTCTGAAAAATGAATCGTGAATTAGAACGAACTTGTACACTTAAAAGTTGTGGAATTAAAAGCTAGCGAATATATCTAAATATATACGTGATATTATATCACAATGTACATGCATTTATACACAAACGCATATATATATATAATATATAAATATATATATATATATATATATATATATATATATATATATATATATATATATAGTTCCATGACTTTTGAGATCCTTGTTATATAAATTCATAAGCTCGTACCATGCTCGTCCATTGTCTTACTCTTCCGCTTAGATACAAGGGCCGTATGCCCATGCTTATATTATTATTATTTTATTTTATATTTTATATGTACTTAACTGTTTTGGCCTTCATGTCTTAGCCCGACATCCCGCATATCCAGGGAGCCTGATTGTAACAGAAAACATAGCGTTGATAGTTGCGCCACACGGTAGTTGGTATTAGGCGGCGCAACTACCAACGCCATGTATATATTATATAATCAGCTCGCATTATATGTTGCTCTTAGTGCGTTTGCGTGTGTAGGGCCATATCCTCTGTATCGCTCTGAGTCAGTTTGCTTGTTGGGGCCTTTATCTTTTCTTCGGGGCTTTTCCTCAAATGTTGAATAGCTCTCTGTTTTTTGTGTTTATTTTGAATTGATTTTGAATTTGACAGCAGAATTGTGTCGTGTCTAAAATAACAGGCAAGAATAACCGGTATTATTGTTTCAGAAAAATGACAAAAAAGCAGTTTTTTTTCGATTTTTAAACATTTTCCACGTTGAAAATGATATTAATATACCTATGCCATTGGAAAGAACGGGAAAAAAAACCATAAAAAAACATTGTTTTAAAGTTGGCCAAAAATTTTCGACATAACTTAAAATATTACTGAAAATTTCAAATATTTTTCCTTAGCTCAATTTTCAAGCTAAAAATCTGAAAAAAATGAAGTAGTATTGTATTATTAAACTAAGCTTTCATGAATTATTTCAGATTTTTTGCAGCAATACAGCGTCTAAAAAAAAATTGTTTTCTTTAAATACGTTTTTTCCCATAGCGAACCCCCAGAGGCACCTAAGGACTTGAAAATTTAACTGAGTGAGTTTTTAATTATGTCCTTCCGAATGGCCAGGCCCAAAACTGAATCGAGCATGGTGCAATTTTGGCCGTCTTATCCCGCTATAAGCCTTTGCGCAGAATAATCAATCATCTTTCAGTAAATATTTACAGTGTATCATTAAATTTAAAGAAGAACTTTCACAAAATAGTGGCATTTAAAGAAGTAAGAGAACCAAAACTGTTATAATAAGTGAAGAAAAGGAATATGATGTACTGTTAGCTACTACTGAAAATCCCTACATCAGCACTCGTAAAATCTCTCTAAACATCAAATGCATCCCTACTGCATAAAACGGTTGTCATTTAAATTTTTGGTCAATAATCTCAGCAGCAAGTGTATAGCGACCGATTTTTTTTTGATTATGTTGACTACAAGCCATCCAAAACGAAAATTCGAAAAAGAATTAGGTAGGCCTTAACAACCCACGTAATAGGTAGACGCGTATTCATCATCACCCAGCTCTTTGCGTCCACTGCTAGACATAGGCCTCCCTCATTTTTTCCATTGTTCATTTCTTGACATTTTCTTGAGATCGTGAATCCAACGAGTAGGGGGTATTCCTCTCCTTTTTTTCTTTAACCTTTTCAATCACCTCCACCTAAAAATTAACTTCAACAAAACAAAAGTAATGACAAACACGGAAGACCAAGAGGCAATAAAAATACAAACAGAAAAAATTGAACAGGTAAATGAGTAGGTATATCTATCTAGGACAAGCAATCAGAGCTAACAGAGAAAATCAAACAGCCGAAATATCGAGACCATAAGAATGGGACCGAGCAGCGTTCCGCAAACTTTCTTACGTTCTAGAAAATCAAACAATCCCTCTAATACTTACGAAGCAAGGTATATAACTTCTTACCGGTGCTCACCTACGGAGCACAGGCATGGATATTTACACAGGCCAATTTGGATAGGATAAAGAAGGCACAAAGAGCGATGGAGAGACAAATGGTTGGGTATATCACTAAAAGATAGAAAACGTAACCAGTGGATCAGGACCAGAACAAAGACAGTAGACGCGATAGAACAAGCAGCAAAACTGAAATGTAAATGGGCTGGACACAATGAACGTCTCCAAGACGGACGATGGAACAATGCCATTGGAAAGTGGCGTCCATTGGCCTTTTTTGTTTTAATTTTTTTATATTAACCTTTACATCTTCTTCCATCGTTGCCAACTCGCCGTCTAATAATCCGATTTGCGGATCTTTTTGAGAGTAGTTAGTATATCTTCTTCGATATCTTTAAATAAATCGGATATTTGCCTATATTTTTAATTGTATTTACCAATCTACTACAACAGACTGATAACAAAAATAAACTTAATGGTTTGTAGTTATTTCCTTTCTTTCTGTAAATATTTTATGGTTAACAACTTATTTGAGAAACATCTAGAGGAATGATTTTGGCAACACTGGCTCAAAATATCCATCTATGGGAAGCTAAAAGTGGTTTGACAGCATAATAAAATCTTAGATTTATGTGTAGCTTTCAATTTTTATACGTGATGGGCGGGGTAACCTATTTGGGTAGAGTTTTAAATTGTTCTTGAATGATTTCAAAATCCAGTAGCCCGCTGAAGTATTGGATTTTTATAATATAATTATTTGACAACCTTTTGTTGGCCAACCACCTAGAACAGAATTGAGCCGAAATACATAATATTTCGTATGTTCCGAATTTATTTGTATGTACACAGACTTTAATTGTGATTTTAAACCTTTGCATACTATAATATATAACTGTAATATAATATACAACAGTAAAAAGTTATAGGCCTTTATTCTGCAGAAAACGTTTAAATCTGCCAAATGTGTTCTCCAGAAGAAGGCCAAGAAGGGCTTCATTTGAAAAAAAGGACATATTTTAAAAATGGTGTTTCCTATTATTTTATTAATGTATCGAAAATTTTTGAAATTAAAATATTTAAACAACGCAAGTGTTGGTTCGCCTTAGGCATGGAATGTTCAATCTTTAAAATGCTTATTTGTCAAAACACACTCTTAGCAGATCGATCCTTCTTCGTGCTACCGCCTCAATTCTCCGTTATATAGTTCATAAAATAGTTTCGAGTATCATATATGGTCAAGTAAGTGCATATTCAGAGAAGGTTCTCAAGTTAAAGAAAAACCATAATTAAAAAACTAGTATAGAAATAATGAAATGGACCAGATAAAACAGCAAGAGATAAAGATAAAACTCGTCAAAATATATTATCAGAAATGTGGAAAGAAATAAAAAGAAAATAAAGTTAAATGTTGGAAATACGAAAATTACACTTCAAAATTATTTTTAATTTAAAAATTAAAACAACTGCAGCTTCCATGGAAATGGAAAACCTGTATAGCGGTGGAGTATAAATGATGAAAATATAAATTAAAACACATCTTAAAACGCATAAACAAACTTGGTCTAATATTGACACAAAATGTGCTAATAAACTATTTAAACACTTGTACTTAATTGGATAATACTATTATGGTATCACCACATGTATATTTTTTTATCTAAAAAAAATCTTTTCTTCTATTATTTCAAAACAAAAACTATAATTTATCAATATAACCTTGCAGAAGGGACAAGACCCTTTCGGCATTGACCATTGATCACATGTTACTCACCGGTCGCAGTAGACATCATCTCGTTTGAAAAAGAATGTCATTGAGAAGCAGTTGCGCACAAACCTTCAATCGAACGAAAACAACAAGGGCATCACACACTATTTACATTAGTCACGCAGAGCAGTAAAGTTTGAATGAAAACCACCATAATACTCGATCACGAGTAGAAGAAGAGCGCTCGTGTGTTTGTGTTATCACTTATCGGTCGCTGGTGACCTTTGGGTGCCACTCAACTACTGAACAAGGAACGTAACGGGCTCAGGCATTTTGTATTCTGAAAGACAAGCGAGCGGTAGTCAACTAGGAGCCTGGTACTTATTTTTCGAACACCCGTTACCGAAAAACTTAAGGCTGGTGCCGTTTACATCGTCGTTGGTAAACATGCTTGATTATAGCACAGTGGCGTGGGTTGTAACGAACTGATAAATAGTTTTGATAACAAACAATTAAATACATAATACTATTATATCCTATTAGATTAGACAAAAATCCTAGTCGTATTAAAACTACTAACTTGGTAAAAGAATAATTTTTTTTTATTAAATTTGCAAATTTACAATCTGCTATTACAAGCTATTAGTAAATGTGAGTATTGCAAATACATGGGAGGAGAAATTATCCACGGATAAGACTCCCAATACTAACACTAACAAATTAAATCAATATAGAATTATAATTTGAAACTAGAATTGATATGAAAATTAAAATTAAAATTGAAATTAGTGAATGAAGTCATTGGCCACTGTCTCGTCAATCTTCATCTGACTTCTGGTTGAAGGTGTAATTGTCTTGCTTCCTCATTGTGACGGACTGGTAGATGTTGTAAATAATTTCTTGTTAGTCTGCTGATTTCGTCTTCAACGAACGGTATACCAGAGTCATCATGCAGTGTTTTGTTACTAACGTACCACGGCGCGTTAAAAATCATTCGTATTTTGGATTGGATTCTCTGAATGATTTTGGCATTACAAGGCTTTGCACAGCCCCATAGTTGCACACCATATGTCCATATAGCTTTACTATGCACTTTACTATACAAGAGAAGTTTAGTATCTGTAGATAACTGTGATTTTTGGCCTATTGACCAATTTATTTGACGTATTATCATTGACGTATTATCATTATTGATTTGGATTTTTTTGCCAAGTTGTGTGCTTTCCAAGTGAGCTTTTGATCAAGTGTCATTCTCATGTATTTGACTTCTGTTTTTACTGGTAGTTATGTGTTGTTCAGTCCTAATTCTCTGACATATGATGTTCCTATTAGTGAATGTAATTTGATTAGACTTAGTATGGTAAATTTTGATTTTCCATCTGCCCATCCAGTCTTGTAGTAGGTTCAGGTGTATTTGAAGGTTTCGTGATGCTACTTGGGGGTTATCATCGATGGATATCATGGCGGTGTCATCTGCGAACATGGCTACTGTGGTCGTATTTGTTGTTGTAATATCAGTAGTGTATATGAGGTATAGGAGTGGACCCAGGACACATTAAAGGATACCGGTTTTATGGGATAGTAATGAGAGGTTTTCTGTAAGAAATCTGACTTGAAAGGGACGTTCTGTGAGGTATGATTTTAAGAATAGATAGTAAGAAGTGCGAAAGGATAACTTAAATTTATATAGGAGGCCGTCATGCCAAATATGGTCAAAGGCTTGTTCAAAGGCCAAATTTTTTCTCGTCGAGTAATGCATTTATGTTTTTAACAATCCTATGAAATTGTTGTAGAGTTGAATGGGCTTCGCGGAAACCAAACTGGTGTGTTGGTATCACTGAATTAATTTCGAGGTCTTCTGAGATTCTTTGGAGCAGAAGTCTTTCAAACATTTTTGACATTATTGAAAGTAAGCTGATTGGTCTATATGAAGTAGTAATATTTGGTGATTTATTTGGTATACTAATTATAATTATTTGTGCAAACTTCCTTCTACTTCGGGTAGTAGGCTAATCTTATGATACTATTATATATTATTATATCATTGTTAGTAGAACAACTGCTTTTCTCGGCGATTTTTTTTAATATTAGCCCGTGAGCGTGTCAAAGCCTTATGCTTTGTAATTATTGCATCTACAAATTTGTTTCTACACATTATTAGGACCGAAGCATTTGATAAGGTGGGCCAAAAACGTGTGAGAGATGTGCAGCAAAGCGAAAGTACTTGGGCAAGATTTGATTAATAAAGTTGTGCTCGATATCTGCCTTTCATTTTTGAAAGTTCATTTATTCGAGCATTCAATCTCATATCAATATATTTTTTATTGTTCTAGACGAGAATAATGATGACTCTAGTGAGAAACACAAATAATAGAGAAATGCAAATGAAAATACAAATTAAACTCAAGTTTTATTTGCATTTTCATTTATCACATAAAGTGTGATAGTCTTAATAATAAAATAAAATTATCTGATAACTGTGGCAATCTGTGTAACATATAATTTGGGCATCCATGATGAAGTCACAGAAACAGGACACATGCACATCTGGCCTGAAAATGTTGCATACCGAGAAGCTCAAGAGATAGCTTAATGCTTAGTAAACCATCTTTAGGAGCACTTACCTGACCCAACCGAATTTGTATAGCGATGCCTGTGGGAGCCAGAATCGGAATATAAAGGTGTCTTTAATATTTAGCAATTACATTCAAAAGTGTAAAATCCAAAATTCCAGTCAAAAGAATGAACTGACTAGAGTTATTTACTAGCAGCAAGTTCCTTGAGAATAAGATAACAAATAGAAAAGTTACTATAACTGCAGAAAAAGTTGAATGGCTTAAAATTCAACAGATAGGGTATTTTAAAAACAAACAAAAAAATTTTACGTAAAATATATAGTACAGGACATGGGTTTGTTTCATGAGGTTGATTTAAAAAAGAAAACCGAAGACCGACCATCATCAGTTACTGTAATGCACAACCTAGATGTTCTGTATCCAAATGGAAGAGCAATAACAAAAGAAAAGAAAAAATATTTAATGGACTTACAACAGTCCAACAGTTTTTATTCTGAATTGAAAGATAGTTCCTATGCATTGGATAAGGGCTTAGAAGAAACAATTATACATGAAAATAAAAAATACGCACTATAATAAGTTTTTAGCTAATTGTTAATAATGAATAAGTTGAAGAGTTGCTTTCTGTTTATCTTAATTTTTGTTTTGGACAATTTACTTGTTTTAGTTTTCTTTATGGCAACTGTGCCTATACATAGCTTGACACACAAGTTTCTCTAGGAATATATTTTTTTGTGAAGGCCAAAAAAGGAAAAAAGTCGGTGTACACTTCTTCTTGTTTTACTCTGAAATATCTATTCGCAATGTATGATTTCAAGATTTCTGAATACTGTTTAGGCATGAACGTTCTTAGTTTCATAGTTTTAAACCGTCATGCCAGACTTTATCAAACGCCTGTGCTACATCCCAGAAGATTGTAGAGCAGACTTTAGTTTCTTCTAATGTTTTTTCTATTATATTCGTTATTCTGTGAACTTGATCTATAGTGGAATGTTGATTTCTGAAACCAAATTCATGATTTGGTATAAAGATTTTTCTTTCTATTATTGGTTTTAATCTTTTTAATAGAAAGTTTTTCAAATAGTTTTGATATCACCGAAAGGAGGGATATTGGTCGATAGGATGTCACTTCATTAGGAGATTTACCTGGTTTGGCGACCATAATTACTTCGGCTACTTTCCAGAGTCTGGAACATATCTCAATCTAAAAGCAGCATTTATTAGGTGTGTTAGCTTAACTATGGCTTTTCTTGGTAGATTTTCTTGGTAGATTCTTCTGTTATGAGATCATATCCTGGAGCTTTCTTAGGATTTATATTCTCTTTTATCTCTGTTGATACTTCTCTAAGTGATGTCAATGTTATTCTTTCGTCAGTTTGGAATGGTTCTTTACATCTCAGTTCTTAACTATCATTGTCGTTGGTTTGAACGTACTTTCTAAATGATCTGCAAATCGTTCTGCTTTTTGTTCGTTACTTCTCTCCCAGTTGCCGTTTTCCAACTTGATAGGAGGGGAATGAATAATTGGTCTCTTTAATCTTTTTATTGCCTTCCATAAAGAATAATCTGTGTTCTGGTCAGCTGTTAAATTACTTAAAAAATAATTAATTGTTGAATTTTTTATATTCTGTATCTCCCCTTTTTAGTTTTTGTGTAGCATTATTTAGACTAGTTTTGTCTCGTGGAGCTCTGTATTGTTGCCATTTTTTTCTTACCTTCCTTTTTTCTATTATGAGTTCTCTGATTTCTTTTGGATAGTTGTTCCCTTTTGTTCTAGAAGTTATTGTGGGAGTATTTTCCCAAGCTGACTGTTGGATATTTTTTATAAAAACTTCTAATTTCGTCATCAAGTTGCCTCGTGTTTCTTAATGGAACAGCAAGATTAATTTTGTGTTCAAGATTTATTTTGAAGCTCTCCCAGTCAGTTCTTTTATTAGTCAATATTGGTTCAATAAGTTGAAGAGTTGTTTTCAGTTTATCTTAATTTTTGTTTTGGACAATTTACTTGTTTTTAGTTTTCTTTATGACAACTGTGCCTATACATAGCTTGACAACACAAGTTTCTCTAGGAATATATTTTTTTGGGAAGGCAAATGTGCCTTTAATTTTTACACATAGAATTAGAATAATAAAACTTAAGTGAGATTTTTCCTTAAATGTTGTTTTAAGACATTAGCTTTTCCTTAAAAAAAAGTGTTACATTTTTTTATCATAAAAATTGTATTTTTTATTTAACATTAACTTTGACATGATTTATCACAAAAACTCCACTTTATGGCTTAGTTACCTTTGCCACTGAGCCACTCATATATGTTTATACACTTTTACTACGACTACTTTCTCTTTCTATTTGGCTACATTTTTTAAATATTTTCTGTGACTATACAAATACATTTCATTTAAATTCAGCACATTGTATCTGTTGTTGTAATAAATACATGCATACACGTTGTTGATAGCGAGGGTCCCGGAGTATGAGTCAGATCCGTCGCGTCAAGGCTGTTGCATTCTTCAATGGGCTGGTCAACGCCCTTTCGACTCCGCCGTGGAACCGCCTATGGTAAATCTTTTGATAGCTGTGGGATCAGCTCTTTGTTAATTATTGTAGTCTGGCACTGGGTTAGCAGGCGGATGTTAATGGCTTGTGAATCTAAGTATGCAAGTAGATTACAATACCATATTGTTACCAGTTTTTTATAAATAATGTTTAATATATAATTTCTGTCTTTTTTTTTAGTTCTAGCCACGTTGTTGTGTTTAAATTATTTTAAATTGTGGCGAAAAAAAATAAGCCGAAAACAGCTGTAGTGATAATATTTAAAATAAATTTTGTGGAAGTTTGAAAACAAAGTTTTCAGTGTTTTATTGGTTACATAAAATGAATTTCCATCAAATAACGTCGAATCCATCAATTATTAAAAAAATAAAGTGTTAAAAGAGAAAATACAAGTAGGTATTTATGGACCAAAACATTTTGTCATGAACATTTCTAGTTATTATTTTCTTAGATCCAAATACAGTACATTCAACCAACTTACACTTCTAAACGATTATTGGAATTCACAGAAAACCTTTAGTTGTAGTAAAAGGCAAGGTAAACTGCACTGGAGTTCGCCATAATCTTTTTAATTACTTATTTTGTTTAGAATATTTTGCCTGTATTATCAGTTGGAGTTAATTTGTATAAAATGAGGAGCAAAAATTCAAATGAAAATTTAAATATTATTGTTATGTAAATGGTTAACCTGCTGTAAAATTATTTGTAAATAATATTATAATAGTTAATACTTACTGATTATTTAAATTTATAAATCATCATCATCGTAACTAAAGTCACTATTGCTATCATTATGTAAATCTATTATCACTGGATTAATTTCACTAATTTTATTTTCCCTGATCAACCCATTAGTTATTCACATTATTTACAGTTTTGCCCATATTTCTGAGTTGCAGTTTTAAGAGCTTCTACCACATTCCCTAACTGCATCGTCAGTGTATCCACTGCATTCTACCTAATTATTATAATAGGTTTTACATATACCCCAGATGTGTTTGATGGGATTAAACTGGCAGTGGTACGGCGGTAACGGTAATACTTGATGTCCATAACTTGATACAATTTGGTCAACTATATAACTGTTGGTTTTTTATTAAGTTTCGAAATTTCCAGTAATTCTGATTTAAATTCGTATTCCGGAAAATTGATATTATTTTTAACTAACTAATTTTTTATGTTCGGTATAGGATGCTAGATATGCTCATTTGTTTTGGGTGTTTCTCCAAAATCTCAGAATGCCAAGGTGCATTATTTAAAACTATAACTGATGGTTCACTCAGACAAGGCCACTCAAGCCATTTAACAAACATATCTGCATTCATGTTTTTCATGGCAATCAGCAGATTTTGATTTTGAAGAAACAATCAAATCTGCGTTTTCTATAAAGCCTTCTTTCCCTCCTGCATGAAGAATTATGTGTCTTTTGTCTTCGCAATCTGTGTGTTTTTATTGATTTTATGCTGTCGTCTTGCCAAATTCTTTAATTCCACCCTTTGCCAATATCCATGTCTCATCTAAGTATACGAATGTTGCATTTTCATATTTAAGCCTAGTATATTCTCTCAAAAATTTAATTCTTTCGTAAATCACAGAACTCCTTTCGCATAAAAGGAACCTGTTATTTTCCTTTTTGAATTAAATCCTATATCTCTCAACACTTTCCAAAGGCTAGTCCGCATTAATTTCAGAAACGTGTATTTCTCTTATTTTGACCAGTAAAGTATTTAAACTGACATGTTGATTGTTTTCACGCATTCGATACAAAATATTGCGAATTTTAAATTTTTCTCCATCAGGTAAATCAATGCTCCTAGAATGTTTTCTTGTCTTCGTGATACTCATCGCAGTAAAATCTACTTCTTCAATACAGTTTTTAGCTTACTTTTACTTATCCCAAGTGTGTCACAAACGCGTTGATTTATACGTAATAATGACTTTAAAAAGTCCACCATTGTCTCTTTCCATGGTAAAGTATTTATGCACATTTGCAATTATTTCACCAATATCCACCTTACGTCTAGTCATGATTGTCACTTAAAACTACACGCTTGCATTACAATATACTGAGTTTAGATCAATATGACAGAAACTTCCTAACTGTTGTGTAATAAAAAGTTAAATATATTTACTAAAACCCTAACTTTAATGGCAGACGTCTCAAAAATGGTACACTCTAACAGACATGGTCAATCTAACCACCACTACTCAAATTGACAAAATGTCCTAGTTTACTCCGAAGTATTTTTTAACAGAAATCAATAGTGATATTTTAGTATTTTGTATATAAATTATTCTTAGCACGAGAGTACCTATTTGTTTCAGAAAAAATTATTAAACAAGTAGGTGAAAGAAATTTACGTTAAATAACGTTATGCAAGAATACTATTTATTTAATATAGCATTATATATCGTGGCTGAATGGATCAATATTTAATAGCCATTAAAAAAAATTAACATTTAGCAAAGTGTTAGACATTATGGAGAACACTAGTGCAGTTTACCGTGCCTTTTTTGTACAAGGCAAGGTTTTCTGCGAATTCCGTTAATCGTTTAGAGATTAAGTTGGTTGAATGTACAGTAGTAAGGCATTTTGTTAACTAATTATATTAATAGTAATATTGTTTTATTGATTTCAATACACAATAAAGAATTATAATTAGTAGTTTTTTTACATACATGTTAATTTTACATTTGTCACTCAAAAACCTTTAAACAATTACTCATTACCCATTAATACCTATTGGTTGAACACGGGAATAGTGAGTGAATGTATTGCGTGATTTCCTAATCCATTTGTCTTTACCTTTATGTATTACATTTCATACATTTTTGATCCTGGATCATATCGATATCAATTTATTTTCAGACATGACGTAACCATCTTAAACCCGAGTTATCCGATTTTAGCATGAATTGGTGCCTTGGATCCTTTTTTATCACTCCACTCATCCATCTAAATACATTCATGATTCACTTGCTTTTAAACTAGTTTACACTGAGTGTCATACACCACAGCTGTTTTTTATTCAAGTTTTATATAACTTTCAATTTAGTTTTCATCGGAAATCTTTTTGTCATTTAATGTGTCATTGATTTCTCTCCATTTATTCCATTCCTCTCTAACTCTACTACATGAATTCACTTCTATTTTCCCATTAATATTTAATAGCAATCCTAAATACTTAAAGCTATAGTTTTCATCAAAGCTATGATTTCACCTTTAAATGAACATTCTAAATACTCCGTTGTTGTCCTAATACTCAAGTTTTAATGCCTCTTCTTTATAAGCTTATTATCACTGTCCCAGTCTTTGTTCTTGTTACAGTTTTTTTATTTGATCCAATACTAAAAAGAATAAATACGGACTAAGCACGGAGTCCTCATGAAATGATAATTTCACATAAAATTTATCCCTACGACACCTGTCCTAACATTATTTGTTAATCCATCATACATCTTCTGTCTATTGATTGGCTTTACAACTCAAGTTGAGTCTTCGTAGCATACACTATAGCCCTCCATCTTCTACGATCTTACGTTGCCATTTTCCATTGTTGTACCACAATCTTATATAAATTTATAAGTGTGTTTCTCTGATCTTACCACATCTCATGCAGTTAGCTTTTATATGTCACGTTTTATTTGTCATGTTTTTAGTACCCTACTGAGTCACCAATTCAACATTGACGACCCTTCTTCACCCACCTGTCAATTCATCTTTTCCAGGTGCAAAGAAGAGATCATTATAAGAATCTTCATTTCAAATACCATGTATTTCGTCTTCTTCTTAGAAAATACGAATAATTCGTCGTAGACATTTATTAAAAAAGACATGCAGAGTACCTGTATGGTACTTTTTGTCGCTTTCCAGGTTTTATATCCGTAGAGTAGAACAGACATGACATTTTACTTGAATATGCAGATCTTTGTCCTTGTAGTATACTCGCCAGATCTCCAAACAGGGTTAAGCATGCTGAATGCTTGTTGAGCTTTAGATACGTAATGTTTTCATATTTTCAATCTGCATGTTGTTGATAATGAGTAGCTTGTTGTTTCTAGCATTTACTCTCATGGGTTTGGTTTTACTAATATTGACTTTCAAACCTACCACATCTTGGAACCTTTATCCTAACAGGCAGATGTCGTCGTATTCCAGGTCGCTCAGGCGTGTGGTTAACGTCCATTTGTTCCTTATGCCTGTTATGTCGGAGTCTAGTTTGGAGAGAACATAGTCTACTGCTATGTCAAAAAGAAACGGAGAAAGCACGCATCCCCGTCTGACACCAGTAAGTATGTCAACGTCGTCGCTGTTGATTCGATTGTGTGTTACGTTCCATTTCGCCTCAGTGTACAGTGTCTTTATAATGAAAATTATTTTATGCGGGATGTTCCTTATCTCTAAAATTTTCCATAAAACAGCATGAGATAAGCTGTCAAAGGTACGGTGAACAAAAACCATGTATAAGGGTGTCTTTCACTCAACCGATTGTTCCATTATTACTCTCACAGTATTAATGTGGCCTATGTACGAGGATTCTGGTCTAAAGCCTGCTTTAGTTGTTTGTTAATCTTTTAAGTATGAATGCTCGTGAAGATTTTATTTATTGCGGTAAGCATGGTTATTCCTCTTCAATTTTTTACTCAGTGTGAAGTGGCACTTTTTCGAAGCTTAATAATGTTACCCCTTTTCCAGCCCGCTAGAATGCGGTTTATTTTCCACATCTTTCGGATTATGGGGAGCAAAAGTTCAGCAGTTAGATGCGGATCAGTTTTAAGTATTTCGGCAGCAATGTTATGGATTCCCGGAGAATTGTTATTTCTCAGAGATTTGATAGCTGTTAAGATGTTTACTTTAAGATAAACGCAAGTCTACATTCTGCGGGTTTTCAACAATCTCATCAGCGTTTAAGCTGGGCGAGCTTAGCATCTCCTGAAAATGCTCTTTCCATCTATCTATTTGGTGATTTGTTGTACAAAAAAAAAATACACCAAATTTTTTTACCAATATATTAAAAACACTAAAAAAATCTTTATTTACATTTTTGACCAGAGATCGGCATTACAGTATAATTAAATAAGAACAAGAACCAAAAAAGATACACAAGCTTACACATATTTAAACAACAATTCTCTCATTGTATAATGTTTTTAAGTGAAATGTACAAATATATTGGACGTAACAGCTTTTACGAAGAATGAAATTATGTCAATCTCTGGTAATTTTTTAAAATATTTGTAACAACGTATACAAAAGTTTAACAAACTATCTAAACCTTAACTATAATAATAGAGAAGTTTACTAAAGAAATCCTGAATAACTTCCATTTGTTTATTTAACACGTTGCCTGCCATAGGGAATTTGTAATACTTTCCGTTCACGCAAAGGCCATTTCTGCTATATGGTCAAAAAAATTACCGCTCACGCCACGGTGCGCAGAGGTACCTTTATATAGCCTGTAATGATTTATGTTCAGTAACGTTAAAAATCTCGTTCAAATAGACCTCGCCGGAGTGCAGAGTAATTTTTTTCTCGGTCAAATAGACCGAGACGGCAGACAACGTGTTAAATAAAATACCCAAATATCGATTATACAGAATAATGAGCAAACTATAAATATAAAAGACAATATTAACATATTGCTAAACGTGGTTTAACAATTTTCTATCACATTTTTTCTATAAATATCAATGCTATATTTCAACAATCTTTTACTACGCTTTTTTCGTATAAAAGCATACCCGTGAAGTAATTGGATTACCTATAATATCTTGTAAACATTTGTAAATAATTGGGCATTCAAAGGTACAAGCATTCGCATTGAGAATACTGTCTTTTAGTTTTATAAAGACAAATCGTGCTGTAATTCGCCATTCCTCTTCCCCCAGAAATTCTATCACCACACTATCAATGCTACCACTTCCACTTTATTGATGATGTGTACATTACCTGCTGTACACTTTCAGTGTATTTTGTGTTGCATACATCGTACAACTGGAAGTACTAAACGGCCGGCCATCAGAATATAACAATACAGATTTAAGAAGAAAAACAAATTCTATGAAATTGGAGAATAGAAAAGATTGTTAAAAAAATCTATTCAAATAACAATGCAGACAGTACCTAGATAGGTTGTTTAGGTATAAAGTTGATTAAGACCAAAATTCTAAGGCATTCTCACAGTGAAAAACTCTTGCCTTTCCCAATCCTATTTTAAGTTGATCTTGACAGTGGTGTCTTTATCCAAAACACTGAAACTACAGCGCCATTATATGATCAGTTCTCTGATAGTTCTTGCACATAACCAATATAATTAACACTAAATGAAGAATAATAAATTAATACACAAAATAAGTCAAAGTAAACCGACTTATTAACGGCCCAGTTAAGGAATATTTGACTTCAGACGTAAATATTAAGGAAACAAAATCGGTACTGGAATCAGAATTCCGCAGTACTCATTGGACAATTAAGAATCCGGAGTTTATATGGCAAAGGAAGAAAATTTAATAGATGTTCAAATCTAGGTTTAGTTCTTTGTTGAATGTTGCAGATCAATATATTAGCCTTCAAAACTAAAATGGCAGCTAAAGGCCATTTTCAGACCTGGTAGAAAAATCTCCTCTGGACCAAAGTATAAAATGATAATAAGAAGTAGCCCATCGGAGTTATGAGGCTACAGACTGCTTAGAGACACTGTACAGATGATGACGGCGTTTATAAAACGATAAATTAGCAGAAAGAGGTGCTCCTACAAAAGACACCACCAGCATCAGAATTATTAATGATCAGAAGACAAAATTCTGCTAAAACGGAGCTAGCATAAGACAAGAAAAAGAATAGAAGAGCAAAACACATACAGATACATACCAGCCCTTTATGGGCTGGGATCCAAACAAACAAACGAGCGACGTCAACAGAAGACAGCAAGAGAAGACATTTGTTTCACCTCACAAAAAAAACAGAAGACTAAATCTCGAGTCAATGCCAAAAGTACGCCTATATTAGATCCTTATGTAGCACAGTGGTACTTGAAGTGGTAATGAAGAGAGAATAGGTCGACTTCTCTAAATATGTATGTGTACTCTCACAAAAAAAAAACAAATTTTTAAGGTTCTGCTGCAGTACACATTATTAGTCAACTTTTTTGTCTTTTCGAAGTTTTTCTAAATTCTTATGTTTACAAGACACATAGTTTAAACCCAAAGATCAAAATATCTTGTAAGATCACAGTATATAGTTGCACAGACTTTGTTTTATACATATCTATCTATACTTCTACGACTGGTTAAGAGGAACTTCTTCTTTTGGCTTTATCGTCGTCCTGCTTCGACTGAAAACTTTCTTACTCCACATCTGGTAAAACACGCAGAGGAATATGAGCACTGGAAGACAGATGAAGAAGATTCCGATTGACGTACAAATCACTTTAAAGTTAATAAGTATTTTGATCATGAACACCATGTTTTCAGGTAGCAGAACCGATTGCTCGAAGTATAGTACTGGGAAAAATACTGTGGGTACGTTCTCGAATAAACTGAAAAGAAAAAATAAACTTTTAAATTTTTGAGTCTAATAAACGTTTATTTATATATAACCCTTTACGAAATGAACATGACTCCGTAGAGTAGGAAAATGTAATTATTATATGGTGTAAGGTCATATTCGAATGTACTTATGAGGATAGAATCGTTTTGTGCCCCTTTGTCCGCTTCTTCTCGATCAACGATGTTAAATACAATAAAATGTAGTAAAAATTATGGTTTTATTGACAGCTAGTAATAATTACGCTATAGATGTTGGTTAGGTAACTTTCTGCAATAGACTGCCTCGAATGAGCTCAAATCCCCAATTTATAATCTCACAAATAATGTATACCTTAGCACAGAGGTTATTGCCTCTATCAAACTAACAAATTTTAAACTATGAGCTTACAATACAATTTAATCTTGGCCGTAATTGCAACACTTAGGAAGTTTAACAGGAAACTATTTTATTCGGCAATTTATTAAGTTGTAGGTAAATGAACTAAATATTAAAATATTACATGATAAGTTTTCACAATGTTTCAATTATACGCGGTGAAACTATAAAAGGTTAAGAAGCTAAGAACAATGTGAGATTACAGATTAAGGGATTAATTTGTGATTGAAAATATTGGTTACTATATCTTAATGTATCGTAGTGGCGCTTAATATATTTTTCGCCTGACGAAAAACGTACTAAACAAAAAAATTGTTTTCGTTCGGAAAAACTTCACCCTTTCAAGCTAATATTGTTCTGAAGCTATTTTCTTGTGGCATTGTAAATTAATTACTATTTATAACTGGGAATAAGCCACAATTAAAGATAAAAAATACGTTTATTGACGTTTCAATTTCCAATTCGGAAATCGTTCTCAAAATACAAACAGTAAATTAAACAAATTTTGTTTTTTTGTTACATAGTGAAAAAATTCTTCTAATTAATTTAATTTTATCTGACTCATTTATATTGACAATTCAGACATACATTATGCATTTTAAAGTAGACGACTTTAAAATGATATTGCCAATATTGTTGAGTTGCGCTCCTGGGACGACTTTACTATAAGATAGTTCATTCGATTACATGAAATCAACTTTAACTTGAGAATATCCGTCAGAAAAAATCATAGCATGTAATTCGTCTTTAAAAAGACAAACACATGACATGATGACAGTAAAATTCTCCTGTTAGTGATTCCATAGTAAATTATGAGGGAAAAACCAGGAAAAAAACCTCATAATACTATCCCGACATTGTAAGTATTTGTTCGTGAATTTAGTTTACCCTCAATAAACATCAAAATTCTGATTTTATATGTTACGTTATTTAAAAAAACATAAATGATGTATCCTCTATATGTTACTGACTTACTAATACTGGTATTTTCTTATTAATAACTTCCTCTTTCAATATTGGTAACCAGATCCTACTACATTCTGCCGAGGAATTTGCGACACAATTGGCCTCATTTAGCATAATTAGAGCCGCTTCTTTGATTTTTCTTTTTTTTACCATCCGTTTCTTTTAGGACTATATTTGAATTATTCCATTGAACCCTATGTTCATTATCCCATGCGTGTTTACATATTTGAGATCTAACAAATTCTCTATTTTTAATATAAGATTGATGTTCACTTATTCTAACATTTAATGGCCTTAATGATTCACCTAAATAAAACTGATCGCATTCACAAGGTATTTTATAAATGCAATTCTTTGTCCAATAAACGTATTTTTTATCTTTAATTGTGGCTTATTCCCAGTTATAAATAGTAATTAACTTTCAAGCTAAGTTTCGAATATAAACTGAACAGACAAGGCACGTGTCAAAGCCGGCATCTTTATACCAATTATATTATTAAAAATCTGGGGAATTCCATCCTAATTATCTTGCAACGAATAGTACCTTCGAATAATGAATTCCAGGTTTTCTAGTAAAGGGATTAAACGCGAAGATTTAGTATTGAAATATCCAAAGAGATAAGGTATTCTTATTTACAAAATTGTTAATGGTTAAATTCTTATTTTTAATAATTTAATATAATAACCAACATTAGCTGTGAAAGTTTTAATTGTTTTTTGCTAAATATATTAGTATTAACACAATATTAATATTGATAAACATTTTGGAAAGGAAAATAAATGTAAAACGAATTAATTTTAATGAATAAACACCTCAGGAACGCCTATGCTGATACAAATTTTATGACAGTTTTATGACTTTGAGGCACATTTCGTGCGCTCAACAATTTGTGAACAGATTGTAGCTGTATAATTTATTTTATGATTAAATTTTAATTATTTTAAAATTAAATTTCTTTACTCGGAAAGTACTATTTAAATGGAAATAAGCCACAATTAATTAAAGTAAGCTTATTGACGTTTCAATTTCCACTTCGAAAATCGTTCCCATTCAATCGTTCAAACTTTAGTTTGATCAATTTATTTTTGAGTCCTTTATAGGTCTCAGGTTAAGAAACTCGCACTGAGAATTTAGAGTTTTGTATTTTTTGTCTTTTTTTTTCTGGTGTCATTTCAATAGAAGATTTGACATAATGACTAAAGTTTATTAACAGCTCTTCTAAAAAGTTCAATTAAACTAGAACTACAGTATTTACTCAAATTGGCTTTTCATGATGTGTTCCGAAATTTTTTCATTTTATTGATTTATTGTTGTCATTATCTCGTAATAAATGTCAAATTCTTTGATTCTAATTTGATATTAGGTACTTCCAATAAATATAAAGGATAACTTTTGTGCTAGTATCCAGCGGAACAACTTTCAAAAATAAAATAAGGTTCAAATGTTTTGGATGCTAATTTAAACACCATTTTTTATATTTGATAAAGATAAAGCGGTCAATTTGCTTAATATAAAAATCAAAATTAAAAAAAGAACTAATTATAACAATAAACTTATCCTTACCCTACTCCTTCAACAGCCTCCATTCGCAAATTTAATTGTAGCCTAGCTGAAACTTGAAGTGGTATACCAGTGTTCTAAAAAATATAAAACGATTAATTTCAGTAATATATAATGCTCGTTTATAAATAATATATTTAAGTTTAATATGGACCAGTTTTTACCTGTCATCCACAGACAAGTTCATAAATAATTAGTTTACTTTCAACAACAATATTTACGGTAGTATTTACGGGAAAATTACCGGGTTCCCCTAATTTTCTGTTTATCTACCTAATATAAATAAATATAAATACAGTCCACTCTCTTTCTATAACGATATGCAAGGGACCGGGAATTTTCATCGTTTTAAGGAGAGATCGTTATACAGAGAGAAACAAAAATCGTTTTGTAATAATAATACTGTGCCAAATAGCGTCTGATTCCGTTTACCTTTTCACAGAACTGACCTGACCTTGTTCTAATCTTTGTGCTGTGGAGGCTCCACAGCACTCATATCGTCATCCTGGTCAATGAAATACTTTTGCCGTATCCAATGCCTGTTAAGGGGTCGAAGTTTTTTTTGTCTCTGCCTCCACTTCCGAGTCACTATTTTCTTCTTCTTCTATATGAACTGCTTATATAATAACCTTGTTGAGATGTTGTAGCTACAGTTTTATCAACTTCTTTGTAATATGTTATCTCTTCCGTTTCGTAGGTGACTCATAGGAAGTTCAAAATGTCTGGCCCAAACAGCTAACGGCAGGTCATCTTTATTCTCAATCAATCCTTGATCTTCCAGCCATCCTGCGTGTTGGAAGGAATATTTTATCGTATTGCTCGTCACCATCATTGATTGGCATCAAGAACGTTTAGTTTGAAATCGCCATTGTTCTCAACCGATTCTATCAAAAGTCTTCTCCTGTAATGGCTTTTCAAACTCTTAATGACACTTTGGTCCATGGGCTGAAGGACAATCATTGTGTTCGCTGGCAGGAAACAAGGTTTAATGTTTTGAAGGTCACACAGTACAGGATTAGCAGAACAATGTTCTACAAGCAGAAGAATTGTTTCTCTTTACGCTCGATATCTCATTTACTTCTTAAAAAATTTCCGAAGTAATCCACACACTCTTGGTTGGTTTTTAGGTCGCGGGCAGATTTTTTATCTCAAACGCAACATGGTTTTTCGAGTTCACTATCACTAACAATTCTCTCTTCAGCGAACTGTCATCTTAGCGGCCACTAAAACCGTAGAGAGCTTTTTGTCAACGCACTTCTTCTTCTTCCTTTATTGGGTAATATCCCAGGGGATAATTTGCCCAGCTAATTCAAGGGATGGGGTATTCTCAACTTGTTCTAGACAATCGATATATGCCCATATTTAGTGTTCTAAATTGAAATTATTTTATATTGAATGAACATTATGTCGAAACTTCTTCTTCTTGGGCCAAACAGTTAGTATAGGAAAGTCTATTCAACACAGGATAAAACTTTTCTCGCTTTGGGGTAGCAGCCAGGCTTTTTCTACATAGTCTTTTTTGATGTGATCCTCAGAGTTCCACAGTAAACTCTTCTCTGCAGCTATCTACTTAATGTCAATAGCTACTTTACTGTGGACTGTCCAAGTTCCTCTTTTTTTTACCAACGGACGATATAGAACCCAGGTGTAAAAAAAGAGAATAATTTTTAAGTTTGTGTTATAGTAGATAAGATAGGAATATATAATTATAGATTGATTTTGGCTAGATTAAGTTCCGATTAAAATTTTAAGTTCTGTTTGATGTTATTTTAAAAAACAATCCAGTCTCATCGGCATTTAAAACGTCGTCTGACGCATATCGTGCCTTCAGTCCAGGCCATACGTTTTCTATCCCATCATCCGTTACGTTTTTGATAACATCACGAGCCTATCTACTTATCTACCCGTAGTTGATCTTGTGCCGCAGCTCTCACTTGCTCGGCCAGCCCTTGGATACCTTAAAATTCTCAATTCTAAGCTCAGCTATAAAAGACTCAGCTTTTGTCAGCTCAGTTATAAAAAACATAGGCCCTGAAAGTGGAATATGGTTCATAAGCTGAAGCATAGCTCGATCTAAATCCACGTGCTAAGGTTTCCGCAACTTCTTCCTTCTACCGCCCTCTGGGACACAACAGAAACTTGAAGTGAGAAGTCGTGAATTGGATTGACTATTGAACGTCAAAAAGTCATCGCTATAAAGGGAGAACGATATCGGTATAGAGAAATAATTAATACAATGTTCTTATTTAGAGGATCAACCAGCGTTTACTATTCTCATCGTTATACGGGAATTATTGTTATGTAGGGAATAGTTATAAAGAAGGACTACTGTAGTCACCTTAAAGAATAGAAATATGGAACAGTTTTTTCCTGGTTATAATACCAAAATATGATGTACAAGTAAAACAAAAAAAAAGCAAGTTGATCTAATAAATTATTAACTTATTAAATTAGAAAAATATTATGATTTAAACTGGAAGAGTATTGACGAAATAAGCTAGTTTAAACACGATTTAGAACGAGACAACGTTGGTAAACATCCACCTGAAGAAGTCAAGTTCATAAATAATTAGTGTACTTTCAACAACAATACTAGTTAAATAAAAGGGTTCCCCTGTTTTCCTGTTTATCGACACGATATAAATAAATATAAATAGTCACATAAAAGAATAGCAATTTATAATAAATATTACTTACAGGCTCGAAAATCATGAAAAAGTCATCAGTTGTTTCGTTGGGAACCACACCGTCTATAACACTGGTATAATACGGATCGGCCTTATAAAAATGAGGCAGAGAAACGAAAGCTGGGGAGCCATGCCTGCAGTTGGATACGTTTAGTGCGCCTGAAGGCATGCAATCACCATCACAGAAACATTTGTTTTCGGGTATATTGGTTCCTGAAAAGAGAAATGGTTGATTACTAAACACGTATAAGTGTTCTTTCCGCTTGATTTCAGGCTTAAACCATTTGCTTTTTGTTCTGAAATTCATATTTGGCTGCATATTTTCATTACGCAGTCTGCAGTTCTTCGTCTTATAATTTTATTTTTGTTTGGGGTTAGACAATTTTTATCCAGTTTATTTATATTTTTTACACTTCTTTAAAATCACTTTTAATAAAAATAGCAACAAATATTACAATACTTGTTAAAAAGTCTAACCGAATGACAAAAACTATTCAAAAACTCAGTATACTACTACCACAGAATAATAAAGAATCAGAAGGGCCACTCTCAGATGCCGCCTTGAAGTTTTTCAGCACGCGCGCCATGTTTTGGGAGGACACAGACATATGATTTGTGTGGTTATGTAATTGTTTATATTTATGTTTAATTATATTATATTTATGTTATTATATTTAACAATGTTAATATAATTGTATAGTATGTCTATGATTGCCGTAAGTCAAATAAACCTGGTTAATTTTTCCATGCACACCACATAAACAACACTAATTTCTTTAAAATCCTCCTAAAACATGGCGGAACGTCTGCGCGGAGGAGATGCGCGTACTTAAATTTTCCGTGGAGAGTGGGTATTCTGTATGTTTATTATTCTGTGCTACTACTATTTGTACTGTCAACTTCCTATTTACATACATTTTCTGACATCGTTCTAAATCTTACGACACATTTTTAGTATAGTTCAGTGACATTTAGAACATTTTAGATTTTAAAAACTCCTTCTTTTTCGTCAAAGGTTTTTGGCTCCTCCTTTTGAAAATTATTAGGTACCGCCTTTTCAAAAGTCTCTTGTTAAATTTACAAGTAATGTTGGTTGCCTATTTATATATGTATGTATATGTGGAGAGGTTTTGCTTCGAACTATGTTCATTACTTACTTAAAATTAAATGTATTGTAATATCTTCTTCTTTAAGTGCCGTCTCCTTTAAGAAGGTTGGCTATCATCACGGCTATCTTCACCTTTGACACTGCTGCTCTAAACAGCTCAACAGAGTTACAATTGTACCACTGCCTCAAATTGTTTAGCCAGGATACACGTCGTCGGCCTATGCTTCTTCTGCCCAGTATCTTTCCCTGTATAATGATCTGCAGCAACTCATATCTCTCACCTCTCATGACATGACCCAGATACTGCAATTTTCTTATTTTAATTGTATTTAATATCTCCTTTTCCTTGTTCATTCTTTTTAAAACGTCGTTGTTCGTAACCTTATCGATCCAACTTATTTTTAAAATTCTTCTATAAGCCCACATCTCAAACGCTTCTATTCTGTTACTTATATCTTTTTTAAGCGTCCAAGCCTCCATTCCATATAATAACACAGAAAATACATAACATCTAAGCATTCGTACTTTAAGTTGCAGACTCAGATCATTGCTGCAAAGTACTTTTCTCATAGTATTGAATGTTGATCGGGCTTTTCCTATACGTGATTTGATTTCCTGTGTGTAATCGTTGTTTTCGGTTATGATTGTTCCCAAGTATGTATATCTGTTCACCTTTTGAACGAGTTCGTCCCTAATCCATAACGTGTCCTGTTGTTGTGTCTTTGCGATGGTCATGAATTTCGTCTTTTTGATATTTAAAGTAAGTCCAGCCTCTTCGCTACTGTCTACAATCTTATTTATCAGAACCTGCAATTCTTCAACTGACTCTGCGATTACTAAAGTATCATCGGCGTATCTGATGTTATTTATAAGTTCTCCGTTGACTTTAATTCCACTTGATGTTTCCTTTAGTGCCTTCTGAACTACCTCTTCTGAATAGAGGTTAAAAAGCAGCGGAGACAATATGCATCCCTGCCTTACCCCTCGTTGTATTTCTATTTCTTCTGATAGTTCGTTGCCAACCTTTACAGATGCAACTTGATTAAAGTAAAGGTTTGATATTATTCTAATATCTTTCATATCCAGATTTTTATCTTGAAGTAGCTGTAGGAGGCGATTATGTCTGACTTTGTCAAATGCCTTATTGTAATCAAGGAAACAGACATAAAGAGGTTGGTTAACATCCATACATCTTTGGGCCAATACATTCAGGGCAAACAAGGCCTCTCTTGTACCCATTGCGTTTCTGAAGCCAAACTGCGTGTTACTAATATCTTGCTCCAGTTTTCTGAAAATTCTTTGATGTATAATTTTCAAGAATATCTTTAGAGTGTGGCTCATTAAGCTGATGGTTCGATGGTCACAGCATTCTCTAGCGTTAGCTTTTTTCGGTAGAGTCACGAACGTCGACTTAAGCCATTCTTTTGGAATGACGCCTGTATCATATATGGTGTTGTACAAGTCTTTTAGTATATCTATTTGATCTTCTGCGATTAATTTTATAATTTCCGCTGGTATCTCATCAGGACCTGTAGCTTTATTATCTTTTGCCAATTTTACTGCATGCATGACTTCTTCTTTTGTTATACTGGGCCCCGTTTCTCTACTGTTGTATAGTTCTATGTTTTCTGGTTGTCTCTCATCTTTAAATAATTCCTGTATGTATTGTTTCCATCTTTCTATTTTCTTGTTGTTATCAAGGATAATTTTACCTTTTTCATCTAATAGAACACTACTGTGGTTTGTTTTTCTGATGCCGGCCAGTTCTTTTACCTTCCTATGTAGATTAAAGTCATCATGCCTTTCCAATAGTACTTCTATTTCCTCACACTTGTTTGAGTACCATTTTTCCTTGGCTTCTCTTATTTTCTTTCTAATTACACCATATATGTCTTTATATTTTTCGATGTCTACGTTCTTGTACAATCTTCTCTTTTCCATCAATTGCAGTATCTCATCATTAATCCATGACTTTGTTGTGTTATTATTTTTCTTTCCTTTTAGAATCTCCTTCGTTGGATTCAGCATTATGTTTTTAAATGTTTCCCATTTTCTGTTCGAATCTTCGTCTGGATCGATTATATTTATCTTTATTTCCTCGTTAATTTTTTTGGATAGCTGATCTCTTACAAATGAATTTTTCAAAAATGAACGTTGTATTTGATTCTTATTGCAACGTGCAGTTAGTTTTTTAAATCGGAGATCGAATGATACAACAACGGGATTGTGGTCTGTGGCTGCATCAGCCCCAGGGTATGTTTTTGCTGATTTAATGGAGTTCCGAAACCTTTTTCTTATTAAACATAGTCTATCTGGTTTCTAATAACTTTCCTATCATTATCCGCAGGCGATCTCCAGGTGTAGAGTCGACGATTAGGTAACTTAAAATAAGTGTTTGTAACTACCAGACTGTTCTCTTGACAGAACTCCACCAATCTTTCCCCCTCTCATTTCTTAAACCAAGTCCATATTTCCCTACAATATCTTCTACTTCTCCTTTTCCTACTTTTGAGTTAAAATCGCCCATAACAATCGTGATATCTCTATGCTTTGTATTATCCAGGGCTTGTTGTATATCTTTATAGAATTGTTCTATTTCATCGTCTGTCTTGTCGGAAGTTGGAGCATATACTTGGATTATATTTAACTTTCGTTGGATCATTGTTAAAGAAACCATAACTACTCTATCTGAGATAGGACTGAAAGAAGTGACTGATTGACATAAGTTCTTATCAACAATGATTGCTACTCCATTTCGATGGTTTGGATCATTATTTCCCGAATAGTATATTTTGGAATTTAAAATCTGTTGTTCACCCGAGTCTGGCCATCTGGTTTCACTTAGTCCCAATATTTTGACAGACATGCGTTGCATTTCTTGTATGACGTTGTGTATCTTCCGGCTTCATAAATTGTTTTAATATTCCAGGTAGCGATCTTTGCACCTTTATTCTTTTTGTAGGGTTTTCGTAGATTAACGACCGGGGGAGCCCTACAGTCTTTTGGTTGTCTACCCCTGCCGGATCTTGACGACCGAAAATCATGATCAGTAACTTGTTGTAACCATCTTGTACTAGCCATAATGATTAACTAGGGATATCCATTAAGGATCTTTAATGTAGTGGTTTCCCCTTGCCTTCTACATCCTTACGCCGTTGACCTATTTTTTTCGGTTCGTCGCCTTTAGGGTCAGTTTCCCAACCCCAGACAAAAGGGTGCCCTACCACTTACCAACTCATCCGCCCGAAGCCGTTGGTCAGTAAGTGGGGGATTGCTTATACCGGCAATTGTAATATAGGTATCTATTTTTAAATAGTTTAGTCTTAAATGGCTATTTTTTCAAGACACAAAAAAAAACTGTTGATCTGCAAAACTAAATACGTTACAGAAAATGTTTAAATTATAAACTACTTTACAATGATGAATTTGTGAAAGTTCATAACTGATACATTTTGTGTAACATATTTAGTTTTGCGGATCAACAGTTTGTCTTTTGATTTCTGAAAAATAGCCATTTTGGAATGTGTACCTTTTTCAACACATCGATTCAATTTGTAGTTTCATTTGGAGATTAGTAATTGTTATTAACATATCCATCCAAAATCTTAAAATCCTAAAAGGATATTGGGGAAGGGGAGCAATATGTATTTATATTTAATTAAATTTTCGACTCACCGTTATCTAAAAATTTTTGTCCTGCCGCATATTTATATCCAACGATGCCGTGTATAACGACCTCTTTTTCGTATTCCAAATCCATATACCTGCACAAATCGGGAGAGAACATCTTGACAACCGACTCTTTTGTTAAACTTCTCGGAAAAAAATCACCCGCTGAAGCTTGTTTAAATTCGCCACAATGGTCCGGATAATATCCAGTGTGTTCGGCATATTTCCATGATTGGAGCTCGCCTAATTGGCCTCCAGCGGTTCCGGTGTCCATGTTAAAGACTCCCTCGAAGTCGGATGAACCGTTTCTCTAAAAATTAGAGAGAAATTTATAAATTTATTTTAGCTGTAATATAATAAATGTCAAATATGTAATAATGGAAAAGGTAACAAAAAGAACTACCAATAGAAGGTTTAAATATCACTCTGTGGCTTTCTTAAGTCTTTGTAATTTGTTCTTCTTCTTTTTGTGCCACTCCTATCGGAGATTGGAAATCATCAAGGCTATTCTGACCTTGTTTACGGCTGACCTAAAGAGTTCATTAGTGGTGCAGCCAAACCACTCTCTCAAATTCCGCAACCATGACATTCTTCTACGGCCTGGATTCCGTTTTCCTTCTATTTTTCCCTGCATTATATTTTGAAGTAATGCGTATTTATGTCCTCTCATCAGGTGACCAAAATATTCGAGTTTTCTTCGCTTTAGCGTTAACAAAATCTCTGGGTCTTTTCCTATTCTTCGTATTACTTCACAGTTTGTTATTCTTTCAACCCAACTAATCTTCAGCATTCGACGGTAGCACTACATCTCGAAACTTTCAATATTTTTCATGTTGTTCTGTTTGAGAGTCCAGGCCTCTACACCGTATAATAGCGTGTTAAATACATAGCCTCTCAGCATTCTTAATCGTAGAGGGATGCTTATATTTCTGTTGCAGAAGAATTTTCTCATCTTTATGAAGGTGGCCCTGGCAATTTCGATACGTCTTTTTATTTCACTGTTTTGGTCTCCAGTTTCGTTTATTAAAGTTCCAAGTATTTGTAACTTGATACTTTTTCAACTTGAGTGCCGTTTATACTAATATACGCTGGTTGTGTCATGTTTTTACTGAAGACCATATACTTGGTTTTTTTAATATTGATATTTATACCATAATTGTTGCAAGCAATATTTATGTCTGTAAGTAATCTTTGTAATTCTTCTACTGTTCTTGCAACTAGTACAGTGTCGTCCGCGTATCGAATATTATTTACAATCTCTCCATTAATTACGATTCTCCGTTTGCTTGTAAAAGGGCTTCCTGACAGATGCTTTCACTATATACATTAAATAACAGAGGTGACAAAATGCAACCCTGTCGTACTCCTCTACGTATTTCTATTGCTTGTGATGTTTCAGTTTCTATTTTGATGTTAGCTTTCTGATTCCAATATAGATTGAGAATTATTCGCAGATCTTTATTATCTATGTCCTTCCTTTCAAGAATCTCTCTAAGCTTATCATGGCGTACTCTGTCAAACGCTTTTTCAAAATCGATAAAACACGTATGTACCTCCTGATTAACGTCTAGGCATCTTTGTGTGAGAACATTCAAACCGAAGAGAGCTTCTCGAGCACCAAGCCCTTTTCTGAACCCATCTGTGTATTACTAATATCTGACTCCAACTTTTGATAAACTCGGTTGTGGATGATTTTTAGAAATATCTTTAGTAGGTGGCTCATTAAAGATATTGTTCGATGTTCTGAACATTCTTTAGCATTAGATTTCTTTGGCAGTGTAACGAATGTAGACAACAGCCACTCTTGAGGTATAATGCCAGTATTGTATATTGTATTAAATAAGTGCAATATTATACCTATTGATTCATCATTCAAGAGCTTTAGCAATTCGGTAGGAACCTCATCCGGTCCATTTGCCTTCCAGTTTTGGAATTTTTAAGTGCCATTTCTACTTCACATTTTAGAATTTCAGGTCCCGTTTCGCCATATATCAGAACAATGTTATTTCTGTTGTCCTCAAATATTTCTTATGTATTCACTCCATTCTATTAATTTTCTCTGTTAACATTTACTCTTACTTTTTTTATGTATATTGAACGTCATACTTTCTTTCATAGTTTTCCATTTCTACACATTGTTCTGTAATCCATGATTCTTTGGCATTTCTTATTCTTTGCTTTATGTTCTTATCAACCTCTTTGTATTTTTCTGCATTATTCTTCATTTTACGTCTTTCATCCATTAGTTCTAGAATGTCTGGTGTCATCCACACCTTATGTTTCTTTGCAGATTTGGTTAGGTGTTTCTTTCCCGTAGTTCTTATTATCGTATTTATATACTTAAGTTTTTCATCTATGTTGTCTGTTCTGCGGATTTGGCTTTCTGCTACACTGAGGCTGGTGTTTATTTCTTCTCGCACTGTTTGTCGTAGATGTTCATTTTTAAGCTGGCTTAAGTCTAATGCTGGAATGATGGCTTTTCTTATTTTCTTTGGTCTAGCTTCTATCACAGATACTACTGGATTATGATCCGAACCGATATCAGCTCCAGGAAAGTTTTAGTAGATTTTACGGCATTACGGTATCTTTTTGTCACCAATATGTAATCTATTTGGTTTCTGACCACTTTTTCTTGTGTATGTTGAGGTGTACGTCCACGTATATAGTCGCCTTGGGGTAGTTTAAAGAATGTATTAGTTATTATTAAATCTTCGCTTTGACAAAACTGAACTAAACGATCACCCCTTTCATTTCTATTACCTAAGCTATATTCACCAACATTTTCTCCAACTTTACCCTGACTCACCTTGGCGTTCAGATCGCCCATTACTATGTTAATGTGTTGTCTCTTTGTTGTTCTTATCACCTCTTCTAAGATATTATAGAATTGTTCTATTTCCTCTTCGTCTTGTCTGCTGTAGGAAGCGTACACTTGTATGATGTTTATCATGTTCTTATTATCTTTTAATTGTATTAACATCACGCGCTCTGAGAATGGAGTAAAGTTTATTACAGCATCTTTCCATTTTTTTGAGATGATGACTCCTACTCCGTATCGATGGGTTTTGGTGTCACTTCCGGCATAATAAAACATACCATGATTATTTGTGGGACATTTGCCGTTTCCTGGCCATTGTGTATCGCTCATGCCTAATATGTCTATACCCAAACGATCCATTTCCAACACGACGTTATCTAATTTTCCCGAAGAGAATAAGCTCCTTACATTCCATGTAGCAATTTTTATGGTTGTCTTTTTCTTTTTACAAGGGTTTCGCTGGTTTACGACCGAGAAAGCCTTGTACTTATTTATTTCTCTTTCTCTGCCGGATCTTGGTATCCGATGTCCATGATCAGTACTTTTCCTTTGCATGTCTACCATGATGATTACTACTAGGGGTACTCTATGAGTCTTTAATGCAGTGGTTCCCCGTTGCCTTCTGCATCCTTATGCCGTTGACCATTCTGTAGGGTTCATCCGCCTTCGAGATCGATTTCTCGGTCTCAGGACAAAAAAGTGCCCGGTGTAATTTATTAATGATTATTTATTAAGCAAATTGATCATATCAGTTAAATGACTTAACCAGTACTTACACCGTAAAACCATCCGAATTTATCCATGACCGCAGACTTTGGTAAAAACGACATCTTACTAGCCATCGCCAAAAGTGGATCTTCATATCCATCAAAAAGAACTTCAGTTACCGAATGGGTGGTCGAGATCTCTGATACTAAGGCTCTGAGTGAAAAGGCGAATCCTTTTTTTATCAGCATGTGCCAGTGTCGGACTGAATGTGCTGCTGACTGAAAAAACAATTATTATTTTATTCTTTTAATTACATTCTTTAAAGATTACTAAAATCAGACGAAAACTTAAAATATGGAACTCTTAAAAATATGGAAATCATACATAGAAAAATTATTTGCATCTGACAGGACTGATGATCACCTATATGGAGAAGGAGAAACAGGACCTTTAATCCTTAAATCGGAGATAGACAGATGCCATTGCAGCACTAAAAAACAATAAGTCAGCAGGTTCGGACATGTACCCTGCGAAATATTAAAGATCCTATGTAAATCAGACAAACAGTTCCTTGATGAATCTAGTTGTACTTTTTAACCACATATAATAGCGGTAAAATCCCGGAGAACTGGCTACAGTCAACATTTATTACAATCCCGAAGAAACCAAATGCCCAGATTTGTGATGACTACCGGCTTATAAGCTTGATCAATCATGTCACTAAAGCGTTCACTAAGATCATTCATAGAAGAATATATGATAAATGTGAGTCAAATATTGATAGATCGCAGTTTGGTTTTCGGAAAGCACTTGGAACTAGAGAAGCAATTTTCGCTCTCCAGGTGCTTATACAGCGGTGTAGAGACGTTGATAAGGACGTGTATTTGTGCTTTGTAGATTTTAGAAAAGCATTTGACAATGTCAATCATGAACAATTGATAGGTATTCTGCGAAAGACAGGTATTGACGACAAGGACATTCGAATTGTGGCAAACCTATACTGGGTCAAACAGCAAGAGCAAAAATTGGCAACGAACTCACTGAAAGCGTGCAGATCAAAAGAGGTGTCCGTCAGGGGTGTATATTATCCCCACTCCTATTCAATATGTATTCCGAGGAAATATTTAACAAATGTATGGAAAATGCAAATGAGGGCATAAAAATAAACGGCGAGTTAACGAACAATATAAGATATGCCGACGACACGGTGATCCTTGCCAGTACCATAGACGAATTACAACAAGTAATGGAAAGACTTTATTCAGTTAGTGAGGAATACGGCCTGAGCCTCAACTTCAAGAAGACAAAGTGGATGCTGATAAGCAAAAAGCAACAACCTGCTCGACAATTACGGATAAGTAACATACTAATTGACCATGTAGAATCTTATGTGTACCTTGGCACCAACGTAAATGCAAAATGGGAACAGACCATAGAAATTAAGGCGAGAATAGAACGAGCTAGAGCAGCATTTAGCAATATGAAAAAGCTCCTCATAAGCAAGGATTTGTCTCTTCCCCTAAAACTACGTCTAGTTAAATGCTACATTTTTCCGATCTTGCTGTATGGCGTGGAGGCCTGGACGCTGACGGAGACGCTAACGAGAAAACTAGAAGCATTCGAAATGTGGGTGTACCGACGCATTCTTCGTATATCCTGGACCGAACATGTCACCAACATAGAGGTACTCCAAAGAATCGGAAAGGAGAAAGAAATCGTGAATACAATTAAACAAAGAAAGCTTGAATATCTAGGCCACATATTGAGACACGATAAGTACCGTCTGCTACAATTGATTGTCCAGGGAAAAATAGACAGTAAGCGAGGGCCAGGCAGGAGAAGACACTCGTGGCTCCAAAATCTGCGGAAGTGGTTCGGGCTCACATCGGTCGAACTATTCAGAAGCGCCGCAAACAAGATCAAAATTGCCATGTTAATAGCCAACGTTCGCAACGGACAGGGCACTTGAAGAAGAAGAAGAAGACAAAAACTATCTATTCACAATACTGTATATTCTGGCTTCTGGTACAAACAAACTTTCATGAATGATAAAAAGTGAATGCCAGAACTAAACGAATTGGACCGGATTTATAATGAAGAAATTAAATGTATGGTAGTAGACTGCGAAGAAAAAAAAATGTTGGTCCAGAATACAGCAGCATACAAATAAATTGAGTTAACACTAATTTAACTTACTCCTATAGACTAGGAACCCTGGTGGGAGAATATAGAGCTATTTTTCCTGTTGCATGGCATGAACTGCGGCGGATTGGAGAGATACCTGAAGTATCTGAAAAGGACCTCTTAGCTGCTAGAACCAAGCAGCATATAGGAAAGGCATCAGAACCAGATGGGATACAACACAGTATTTGTAGAGGTGTGTGTGTGCTAGCGATGATACATTTGTCCGGTAACTTGGCGAATGGGTTTCTTCGGAGAGCTTGTTACAATCAAGAAATATTGAGAAGATAGACAGAAACGAAAATATAGGTCAATATCCATTCTGAACAAGATAGTAAAGATAAACGATTTTAATTCAAGAGACTCTTTGCAGAGCTCTGAATATAAGATCCTTCACAGAGGATATCCTATAGATTAGAATAATTATAGTAAAAAAACTATAACTGGCCCCAAAGTTTAGGTGAAGTGGACAAAGCACAAGCACGATGGACTCCCAGAGTATAGGAGACTCTGAGAGAGCCTATGGGACACTGACTTGCCTGACTTGAAATCTACTCCTATTTATACATTGGGTGTTTGGGGTAAATTTGTAAGTCTAGGTAAATCGGCATATGGGAGGATATTATCAGCATGTACTAGGAGTACAGGAATGGTACTGGGCCTCCTATGTGGACTTGTGTCGAATAATGGTGTACTAAGGGAAAGTTTGACGAGGTACATTCAGTACTTTTGTATGAAGCGCAGATATACATAAAGCTTTTTGAAAGTGTCAGTTCTAGCCAGTGTGCCATCAATGGATCTGATAGCTTAGGAAAGGAAGAATAACTACAAACGAAAAAGGACAGAGGGAGACTTAATATGCAAGAGAGAGAGAGAAAGAGAAAGTAATAAATATATGACAACAACAATTGACGCAAGAAAAGAGGAAGGCTCAATAGAACCAGCGTCTTATCACTAATTTGTGGGGAACGTGAATATTAGGAGGTAAACTACCACGTGACTTAGATATTTACGGGACATTGTTATTTCAGCGTCTTCTAAAGCAGATGGACAAAGAGGAGACTAACGCGTTTGTAAATTATTTAAGGTCAAGGTCTATTAAGTCACCGCGGAGCATACTGCTATTGTATAAAAAGGCTGGATGGATGTGGAGGTTTGAAATAGGCTTAGAGGGGGTCAGAGTGACAGTAACTTTCTACTTGATTTTAGGCTGCATAGTGAAACAGATTCGAATTTTTTAAATGGTATGAACGCTACTGCAATAAAGTGCAAAGAGAGTCTGCACAGAGAGAAAGAGAGGGTTTTATTTAAATTCCACGGACTGGGTAATGATTTTCCTTCACCTACGTAAAAATACAAAAAAAAAACAATTACTGACTACAAAAACGAAGCAGAAGTTCTGCTGTAGAACATCAATAAAAATCGCACTATAATAAGTCAATAAAATTCATTATTGTGAAACAAAGCTAAGTAAATGGAACAAACAACTATTGGCAACATAGATGTAAAATAGTAGCTTTTCGATATGATGTACTTGTTAATTGGAAAGTAAATAAATACATTACAAACAAATTTACGCAGTTTGTCGTTGTTTTTAACATAGACTTTCTGACAATATATGATTCCGTATAATATCATATAAGAATGGGTAGAAACAAAGAAGCCGTAAATATAGAATCGTCAATTTATATAATTAAGGAAAAACTGCTGTTATGGTACGGCCATATTAGATAAATAGCAGATTACAGAGTACAAAATAAACTTCATGCTAAAATAAACGATAAATAGTCAAATGTTTCGTAAAAAACTAACCGTTATAGGTCCACATGAATGTCAACAAATACGTATTTTTGTCTAGTTTTCTTATAAGTGATTTTCACAGAAGTTAAAACGAAAATAACTAAATTTGCACACTAAATGTAAAGCCATGCTACAGCTAGATACATTGGTGATAAAATGTAACTTACCAATGCAATGGGGTTGATTGTGGTAAATGGATCATAAGGCGATCCTTTGCTTAGTTCTGGAACATACCACCAATGCTTCAAATTCTTATAGGTAACCGTATCGTTTTCGTTCCAAATAATATCAGTCTTTTTCTTTTCCTCTTGGTACACATAGGGTCCTATTTGCTCGAACCTCGGTTTAATGCTTTTGTTGTAAATATCATGGGGATTAGTCCAGTTGAACATATATAAAGTGAGCGTCAAAGGAACTGGGTTTTTCACCCAAAGGCTGAAGGCGTTACTATGGGGAGTAAGGGTCAACTGGCTTGTTAGTATGGCTTCGTAGAGTGTGGCCCAAAGTGTCATCAAGAGGATGCCGATGACTGTGAAGATCAAGCACGCGCCACTAACGCAGAGGAAGATTGCAAGAGGCTTTTTGGGTTGCATGGTGTAGGTGCTTCTAGCCTGAAAGAAACAAAAAAAAAAATAAAAATGATATAAATTTGAGATCTTACTATTATACAACTTGACAAATTTTACTTTGTCTTTGGAATGTGCAAACAAATAACAGCTAGCGTATTATGATCATAGAGGAGCAGAATATTTGAATTATATCCAAATATTATAAAAATAAAATTACAAGAATTCGGTTATAGATTTTTTTTTAAAGTATTCTATAGTATATTTATTATAAAAAGTCTTCTCCTAGTGAAATTCATTTAACAAAATTTTTATATCACTAATTATGTATTGAATTGATAAAGAAACTTTTATCAATATAATATTTTTTACAATTTTTAACAATTTTCATTATATTTACAGGGCACTAGATTAACAAATAATCACAAGAGTTTGTAAACTGACTGACCCTGGTCTTAGAAAGAAAATCTCAATATTATTTTACAATTGTTCCTAGATAATTGTATTCACGTAACTGGAAAGAATCTGTTATGTTGAAGTCATTATTATAATTGTATGCTTGTGAAAGAAATGTTATAAATTGAGGTATATTTGTATGCCACCCAAATTATCGTCAATAAATGCTCCGAACACTCGAAGCTATCCCGTACTTATTAAGGGTTGCGTATTTTTTCATCCATGAGTACGGACTGAAGAAAACTGAAGAATTTAAAGAAAACTAAATGCATGATCATGACTAAATCTGCACATGTAAATATCCAATTGACTATTGAAGATGAAGATATTGCAATTGAGAGTGTTAACAACTATAAATACTTAGGAACATGGCTAACATCAAATGTAGACCAAACCAAGAGAAATGAAGACACATTTAGAAATAGCACGTACGTCATTCATTAAATTTAAAAAGTTTTCTTTGTTGTCGGAATATAAGGTTAGAACTACGCCTGAGAATGCTTCGATGTTACGTGCTCTCTATTCTTTTTTATGGCTTGGAAACGTGGACACTAAAACAAGTCCCTATCTGAATAAGTTGGCCCCCTTTGAATTTTGGTGGTACAAATAGGAAATAGAGGCGAAAATGAGGCGGAAATAATATTAACTATTGAAAGACGAAAACTAAAGTATTTAGGACATGTAATGAGAGGGCAAAAATACGCATTATTACAACTTATTATGTAGGGCAAAATCCGAGGAAAGCGAAATGTGGGAAGACGAAAAATATCCTGGCTTGAGAACTTAAGGGAATGGTTTTAATGCAGTAGTGCAGAACAACCAGAGCCGCATAGCCATGATGATTTCCAACCTTCGATAGAAGATGGAACTTACAGAAGAAGAAGAGGATTTTTTCATTTAGTATTTTTTATATTTAAAGTCTCTACAATCAATTACGGGATGATTCGGACTAGCTGGTAAGCCCTATCAAGAAAGATGGATATCTAATTTTTTAACTTAAAGGACATGGACCCATGATCTTTGCTACAGAATAAGACGCTTTCTATAAAACAAATTACATCAATTTGTGTCTGGAAGATAAATGTACTTTTCGAACGCTCCTGTATTTCTCTTTGTTTTGTTTATATAATTACGATAGCATACTTATAGTGGCCCAAAGGTCTGGAAACGGCTAATTATCTCGTAAAATGCTAATCATAATTGTACAAAATTTGATGGTACACCTATTTTGGGATACGGAGATTCCATATTTGATATTTACAATGTTGCCAGATTTGCCGTTTTTCTTATATTATTAGTAACTTTGGTTTTTCAAATACATTCACCTGTATATATCAGTCATTATTGGAATCTCCTATTCAATACGAGTTCAACCATATGTAACACTTATGATTTTATGTAATCTGGAAGGTCATAAATACATAAAACCGAAGTCTGGCAACGCCTAAATTGTTTCAATAAATTTTTTAATACTAACTATTTTCAAATACATTAAAACGTAACAATTGATAGTTGTTAGTAGTTACTTTATTAAGTGTTCAAAATGTGCTCAATTTGTGAGTTGACAGCACCCTAATCGATGGTAGAAGGCGTCTACCACATTTCTCCATGATTGTCTAGAAATTATTCGAGATTCATTGATAATTCGTTGCCTTAGCTCTGCAAGACTTGCTGGTTAAGTTTTGTAAACTGAATTTTTCAAGTATCCCTAATAAAAATAATCTTTAGGATTGAAATCGGTGTGAACGTGGAGGCCATTCAATTCTACCTTGTCTACCAATTTATCGTCCAGGAAATATCTCATCTAAATATCGCCGAACATTTACACCAACTATCTGACGTTAAATTTCTTTCGACAAAAAATGACCCAATTGAATAAGTAACTACTATATCTGACCATACATTTAATTTTTGTGGTCTTTGAGTATGGTTTTCACGCATTCAGTCTTCAGTGTGAATTTACGTCACACCAGTACCTTAAATTGTGTCGATTTACACTTCCACACAGTGTAAAAGTTGCTTCATCGGAAAAACATATTCTGTTAACGAAATTTTAATAATTTTCAATTTTATCCATCATTACCTCAGTAAACTCTAATCTACGACCAAAGTCATCTTTACTTAATTCTTGCAATAAGTTAATTTTGTATGATTTAAATTTATTTTTACGTAATAAACGTAAGACTGAAGAATGACCTACATCATGTACTTGTGCAACCTGCCTGGGGATGTATGTGGATCTTCAACAAAACTTTGCTTATATCTGAAGTTTTGTTGTCATTGATAACTCGTTTCGGTCAACCTGATCGGTATCTATCTTTTACTTCTCCAGATTCCTCAAATCGCCTTACAGTTTTTTGTACCGTCGTCTTATGAATAGGAGAACGGTTTAGAGAACGGCATTTTAGAGAAGCAATTTAAATTGCAGAACTTTTTGAACCACAACTACTGTCAATTTTAGTTCATAATTTAAATGGTGAAGAAATGTCAAAATCACAGCATTATCCATTTAAATATTTAAATTTATTAAAATCTACATAATTTTACACTGTTTTATATATTGTAAGATCTTTCAGACTACATAAAATCAAGTGAACATATGGTTGAACTCGTATTGAATAGCTGAACTCGTGTGAAATTCACACTGAATGTGTGAAAACCATACTCAAAGACCACAAAAATTAAATGTATGGTCAGTTATAGTACGTACTTATTTAATTAGGCCATTTTTTATCGAAAGAAATGTAACGTCAGATAGTTGGTGTAAATGTTCGACGTTATTTAGATGAGATATTTACCGGACGATAAATTGGTAGACAAGGTAGAATTGAATGGTCTTCACGTTGACACCGATCTCAATCCTAAAGATTATTTTTATTAGAGGTACTTGATACTATGAATTATCGATGAATCTCGAATAATTTCTAGACAATCATGGAGAAATGTGGTAGACGCATGTATTTGAAAATAGTATTAAAAAATGTATTGAAACAATTTAGGCGTTGCCAGACTTCTGTTTTATTAATTTAAGACCTTCCAGACTACATAAAATCATAATTGTTACATGTGGTTGAACTCGTATTTAATAGGAGATTCTAATAATGACTGAATATACAGGGTGATGCATTTGAAAAACCAAAGTTACTAGTAATATAAAGAGAAACTGAGAATCTGGCAACATTTCAAATACCAAATATGGAATCTCCGTATCCCAAAATAGGCGTATCTCATATTTTGTATAATTATGTCTCGTAATTTACGAGATAATTAGCCGTTTCCAGACTTTTGGGCCACTCTGTATTAATGCTCTCATATATTGTACATTCGTCAATATTTTGTTAAACCCCAAAAATAAAAACGTTTAAAAGTAGGTGGTGATGATATGGTCCGTTAAGGTCATGGTTATTCAGCATTTGATGTATTGTGATTTTATAGACAATTTCGGAGAACTATGTGTAACAACTTCTATTTTTAGTGTATAGGATTAGTATATTAAAGATCATTAAACTTGAAAGTGTTAAAATTTATTTTAATTTTAATTCTTATGGTTTAGTTATTTTAAAACTGTATCATTTATTCGTCAAACTCACTCAGTGGTTATTAATAGATTGGTGATGTTTGTACTGCATTAATAATACATAAGGTGACATTTTGTAATTTGTTTTTTAATCTTGACTTTGAAATAACTGCACAATATCTGTAAAGGTGAACAACTGATCATATATAACCATATTATACCATACATTTACATTTAAATATGTTTATGCGAAACTGGACTCTGAACGAGACACTGAAAGTAAAATTCAAGTCAACAAAACGAATATTTTGACGCTATATTTATAATGAGGCAAGTGCAATTAGAATACAACAAACCGACATATCTATGTTTCGTGAACCTTAAGTCAAATAAAATGACATTATCCACTTATTGTACGCAATATAGATACCCAGGAATAATCAAAACGATAGAAAATATTTACCAGAACAACACAATAAAAGTAAACTGGCCCAACTGAAGCTGGTAATGAGATAAGAAATGGGATTTCCCTGAGTCCTCTATTATTCAACCTGATCATGGATGAATTAATAAAAAAGTAAAAAGTAATGAAGGATTTTTTTATAGCCCTTTTTCTATCCGAATTGTCGAATAAAGGCCTCTCACATTTCTCGCCATTCATCCCTGTTGTGTGCTAGGCGTTTCCACATTGGTCCTGCGACTCTTTTGATATCGTCGCTCCAGCGCATTTGAGGTCTTCCTCTTGGTCTCTTCGCATCGTACGGTCGCCAGTTTCCGACTTCTTTGTTCCATCTACCATCTTCGAGACGTTCGTTGTGTCCAGCCCATTTCAATTTTAATTTAGCTGCTTGTTTCGCGGCGTCCTTTATTTTTGTTTTGTTCTGGATTGCTTCGTTCGTTTGCCGATCTATTAGTGAGATACCAAGCATCTGTCGTTCCATGGCTCGCAGAGTTTCCGTAAGTAAGAACGGGAAGGATACAAGAATCGAACACTTTGGTTCGAAGGTTTTGGGGTATCTTTTTGTCTTTTAGTATGTTCTGAGAGTCAGATATATGTATTCTTCTACATGTT